AAAAAAAAAAAAAAAAAAAAAAAAATCAGTTCTGAACACGCACAAAGGAGTTTTTCTTTCCCTGAACAATGTATTATAACTACATAGCATTTATATACTGCATTAAATGTCACCAGGTGGTTTAAAGTGTATGGGGAAAAAATGTACTGGTCCTGTACAGTCACTAGCCCGTATTATATCAGCAACTTGAACATCCTCGGATTTTGGTACCCTGGGGATAGCACAGGAGGTGTCCTGGGATTACTGAGGGATGACTTTATTAGCCTTTCCTTTAAGTAGGTCACTTCATGATGGGGAAAGTCTGTTACATGGTACTAGCTAGATAAGAACAAAAGCTATGTGGTTGTGATACTATTAGAATTATACTTATACTTTTCCTGGGGAAGGTTAGCTTGAGCATAGAAGCCAGGAAAAGACTGGTGTTTGAGCTGAATCTAAGTGCACCTGACAGGTGGGTAAGTGGAAGGTGTGTGCTGGGGAAAGGCTTATGTGGGAGAGTGTGGTGCTTTCTAGAAATCTCAAATATTGCTGGTGTACAAGGTGCTGGTGGAACGGCCCGAGGAGCTAAAGCTGAAAGAGTTGTGTGAAGTCCGCAATTATGGTTCTCATATACCATGATAAAGCATTCATATGTAACATTAGTAAGTAGCAATAGGTCATCATGGATGTTTGAATAAGGTTCCAAGAACCAATTCCCATATTAGGAAGGAGGGTGAATGCTAGTCAGTGCTGCACTCCTGAACTACAGCAGCCCTTGTCAGAGTAACCATGGTTGCTAATAGTATTAGTGGAATAGAAGGTCTTGAGGATGCAGAAACAGGCTTTAGCAATTCTGAGGCCAAGGAGCCAGTGCAAAAGAAGACATGGAAGGTTTTGAAGAGAAAAGCAGGTTACGGTGCGGTTATTTGTTGAGAGGGAAGAATTTGAGTGAAAAGATTTGGAAGAAATGATCCATGGTGCAGACAGCCTCCCTGGCATAAGCTTGGCTGCTGACCGAAGTAAGTCACGACAGTATGGAGGACCTAGTCCCGGCTTTGTACCCAACAGCACATGGCTTTTGCTTTTTCTAGAAACTTAATAGGTTTGGTAGAAGTTCTAAGAAGAGACAGTCACTCTCTATTCAGACAGCTCCTCTATAGGAAATTGAATTCTGACCCCCGTGTCTAGTGGGTTGCTCTTATATCTTGACCCAGGAATTCTACATGTGTGGTATGTATGATAAGGGCACCAGAAGGGATAGACCAGAATAGCCTTGTGGGGCCAAAATGAAAAGCACTTGTGTCCAAGTTGACTTTCTCACGTTTTTCTTTCTTTTTAAGTTAATACACATTTTTGTTTGACACATAGGGATGATATATATTAATACAATGCAGTATTTCAATACAGGTGTGTTGTATGTAATAAGAACTAGATAATTGCTGTATTTACCACTTTAGACACGTGTCATTTTCCACATTAATTTTATTTTCACTTTTGTATAATTTGGTAGGTAGCTTTTAAATATTGCCAGAAATATGGAAGTGACAAAGTACGAGTGATAACACTAATGAAGAATCGTGGAAAAGGTGGCGCTATTAGGATGGTAATATATCCTTTCTAATTTGTATCAAAAATATAAAGGTATTTCAATGTAATAATAATAATTCTTTTTTGTAGACCATGATGTGCATATTGTATAGTGGGGTAGATGAATTCCAGCATTTCAAATTAACAACATCTTTTTAGTAATAACTATGTATTTTTCTTATCCAAGTCTAAGTATCACATAGTACCTAACTTAAAGTTTAAATTTTGTCATTTACTTCTGTGTGTCTTTGATAATTATACTTAGGAAAGAGGTACAAAGTGCTAAAAGTTCTAAATCAAATGGTTACATTCAGCAGAGATATATTAGGTGTGAATCAAGGTGTAATGAAAGATCAGAAATGAATGAACGTGAAAAAAAGCCTAAATAATAGTCCCTTAAATAATGTAGAGGTTTATTAATTTTCCCTCATAAAAAGTAGTCTGGAGGTAGAGTCCATGGACTTACTGAGTGACCACAGCATCCTGAGGAGTCCAGATGCCTACCTTTTCATACCGTCTTTCTCGCGCACACAGGTGAACACATGATACCCGTGTTCTGAGCTGGAAGTGGGAAAAAGAGCATGCCAGCCAGTTTGTCCCCTTCTAAGTGTCTTTTATTTATATCTTAAGGACCAGAACAGTGTCACAAAGCCACCCTAGTGTCCAAGGTAGGCTGAAAATGAAGCTCTGTGTTCAATCCCCAATCTCAAAGAGTGGGAGAGGACAGAAAGAGCTCAGAGCTTCTGCTTAGCATATATGAGGCCCTGGGTTCAAAAGAAAAAAAGGAGGAAGATTAGGACTGATGAAATATAATGGGGAGCTTCCAATCTATCCATTTTGTCTATTCAGCCACCATTGTATTTTATTATGAAACCCATCCTATCCTTAAGAATCTCACTGTTTGGCCTGCCATGCCAGCCCCGCCCCCAGGGCATGCTGAGACAGCGATTAAGACTGGGTGTGGTAGTGTACCTGTAATCCCAGCTCTTGGGAGACTGTAAACAGGTGGATCACTAGCATCCAGTCTAGTAGTGAGGCCCTGAACACACTGTAGACCCTTCCCTAAAAAAAAAAAAAAAATCTCACTGTTGAGAAGTGAAAGATAATTCTTACATACTTAATGCTCAGTCTAGAGGTGTATGTCCAGTGTTGTTGCTACGCTCTGATAGAAGCAGCTGAGACTTCTCATAGGCCATACTTTTTTTTTTTTTTTTAATGTATTTTAGTACAGGGTTTCACTCTGTAGATTGGACTTCTAGTGATTCTCCTGTTTTCAGCCTCCTGCGCACTGAGATTGCAGGTGAGCACCACCATGCCTAGTCTCAAGGCCTTAAGTTCTTAACAGTCTTCAAGAAACATTAGGCTTTATCTGGGAGGAGGAGAGCTTTGCAGAGGAGAGAGATGACTGGAGGCACAGCAGTGTGAGTGGTCACCCTTACAGGGCAGTGAAGCAATGTTTTTATTGTGAGGTCTTTTGCCATTTCAAATTAATAGCTTCAAATTTTATATATTTGGTGTTTCTAGTTTTTAAAACCTCTTATGTTCAGATATTAAATGGGATAAAATTTTAATTTATACTTGAACACATTCTAATAGGTATGATTAAAAAGATATCACAGATACTGATTCATGGCCCTGTTATATCAGAATAAATGATCAGATTTCTCTCTATATTTAGATGTATCTTACCTATAGTCACATTATGTTAATATGTTCAGTATTGTCAAAGTAAAATTTAAGAATAGTCTAAGCTGGGTGTGGTAGTATGGGTCTGTAATTTCAGCATTCAGGAGACTGAGGCAGAAGGATCATTGTGAGCAGAAGGCCAGCCTCACCTACACACAGCAAGACCCTGGTTAAACAAAAAACCAGAACAGTCAATGTAAAACACTCTAGGTCTCATAACAGAAGATCTATGACCTTATTATACATTTCATGGCAAATTTGTTAGTGCTTTGTTCAGTCTGTTTTGTACATTCTTCTGAATTGCCTCTGATCCATTTTAAGTACCATGACACATACATAGGACACATGTGTTTTTATTCTTAGTGATACAGACTACAAAAACATTTTATTATCTGGATATTTTCTAAGGTATTAGTATGACCTCATACATTTTTTAAAATAGTGAGACAGGCCATAAATACATTTGGGTATATCTTATCAATGGTAGCAATGAACTCCAACCTTCTAGCATTTTATACCTAAGATTTCACTCTTAGTTCTATTTCGACTAAAGCAAAACTAACTGAAATACTAAATTTAATAATTTTTAAAAAAATTTTTTTCTTGTAATTTCTAAACGCAGGGTGTATTTAGTTCTCGAGGAGAAAAGATCCTTATGGCAGATGCTGATGGAGCTACAAAGTTTCCGGATGTTGAGAAATTAGAAAAGGGACTAAATGATCTGCAGCCTTGGCCTGTAAGTATAAGGATGCTGTGTAAGTGATATTCAACCCAACACACAGGTTCTGCAGTAAAATTTTAAAAGAATTTACCTATAATTTTAAAAAACAGGGTTTGTTTTGTTATAAAATTACTAGACTATTGTTGCAGTCTAGCAGACCTGATAATTTTGTTATAAATGTTCACTGATTTTCTGTGATTGACTTGACAGTTACTTAATATTATCATTGTCTCTCTTGATTTCTTTTTTTTTCCATAATTTTATTGAGAAACAAATAGCAATGAGACAGTTTCAAACCAAATTGGTAGGACAGTTCAATGATTAACACATTGCATACATTCTTCCTAGTGGTTAATTGCTGTACAAGATGCGGACTTGATATCCTATTTACAAACACCATTAGAATAAATCCCTCTATTCATTAA